TCGTCTTAGTACTACTTCTGTTTTCTGCCAGCAAATTAACCAACCTCTTCTGGGTAAAGCATGCTTGGACATTCCCATCATGCATATGTAGTTTAATGGCTATGCTGGTTGAGTAAATAGTAATCAAATATTCTCTGCATAATAATGAAAACAAGAAAACTTCCATCAGCAAAATAAAATGATGTCCTCTGCATAATTAAATTACACCAACCACATTTATTCCCATCATGATACCAATATGAGTACAACTTAATCATCACTCCCCTAGCTAAAAGACAAGAGAGAACAAAAGAATGCTTCCTTAATTGGCGTTGCAACAAGTGGCCGGCTGATGGAAGGCAAATATACCCACTCCGTTCTAAAATATCTTTTATACCAGGCTTCGTTAAGAAAAGTCTTTGACCAATAATTATGATAATAGGACTCCCTTCGTTTCATCAACTTGATAGAAGAAAAAAGGTCAACATTCACCATACCAAGTCAATATCATTATCCATCATGAAATATTATTTTCAATATAAATTTGATCAAACTTTACAAAGTTTGAATTAAGACAAATCTAAATGAGAACTACTACAAAAAAAGGAGTATATACTTTATATATTTTTATTTTGTTTCAGGGTAAGGAGTATATATATGCTTTAGTTACGTGGCATAAATATATATGCTTTAGCTAGGGACCATGGTTTGATGGCTACATAGGGATGTGTCGGGCGATGCATGCATGGTGTGTTTCGACGTGGTTAACGTCGGACGTACGTACAGTACGTACGGACTATTACGTGGGATCGGCACACGTACACGTCGTAATAAACACCTCTTTCACCGGCGGATCAGCAAGTGGCGTGGCCAAGTGAATGCATGCACGCAGGGCAGGACGACAGTCGCTGCTGCTCGATCGGCGGTCGCCCGTCTGTCAGGTTGGTGTTGGCTCAGCACAGGAAACCTATGAGCAAAGAGCAATTGCAACGTAGATGTATATGTGCACACACCGCTACCTCGTGCGTGACATGCTCACACAGCGCCGGCTGAAGATCGGAGTCGCGGAGCTTCGAGATTGACAAAGTCATCATGGCCGCCTACGGAAATGTCACCTCCTACCCTGATAATATCACCGAGAGTGATTCTTCTACACCCACTCTTGGTGCACCCACGCAAGAAAACATATCAAAACATTTCGAAAAAATCTGAAACTTTATGAAAATGATCATCAACAAATATTAGAGAGGCTTGCAAAATTTGGTGGTCAAATAACATTCGAGGAGCTCTCTACAAAAAAGACAAAATTACAAAATCTGCTTAGACAGTGCGCTTACATTTTGACTAATTTTCAGTGAATTCTATTACCACCAAACTTTGCAAGCCCCCGTAATATTTGTTGATGATCATTCCCATAAAGTTTCAGAATTTTTTAAAACCTTTTGCTATGTTTTCTTGCGTGGGTGCATCGTGGGTGCAGCCAATACTTTCCCTAATATCACCTCAATGAGACACACAGGGTGTCAAACCTATGGCTTAAACCCTGCGTGAGCTCTCAAAATTACATGACTCCTCTGGACGGAATGTGTGTTGTACTGGATCGAACGGGAGAGTATTATGTGCTCCCCTCCCATGCTCCCATGCTACGGGAGCTCTAGGGGCATTCGATTATAGATCCCACGGTTAGCATTCGAGCTGTTGGGCCTCCCAAAATTACATGACTCCTCTGGGAGATTCTACAAATTTGTGGGAGTTCCCCCTGTGATCGTTGGATCAACGATCCAGTGGGCCCAGGAGCCCCCGTAGCATGGGTGCATGGGAGGTGTTGGAGCACCCGATATTCTCCTTGATCGGACATCTGACATTTGTATGATATGAACTCACAGCTACTAAGTACAATGATAATTCTGCTGTCTTGAAAATACAGCATTCTAGAAGCTAGAATGCATGCAACAACTTACTGCCTGATGCGCAAAATTGTTTATACTCCCTCCGTCCGAAAAAACTTGTCCCAAGTTTATCCCTTAAATGGATGTATCTAGCACTAACTTGATACTAGATACATCCATTTGAGGGACACGTTTTTTCGAATGGAGAGAGTACGAGCATTTAATCACTTGCTCTATTTCAGCTTATAAGGTGCACACATTTTTTTGAGATTTAACTTTGACTGTCAATTTGACCAATAATATATGCATCTTTGACTTCAAAATTAACCACTTGATAGTGGCGAATCCAACACTGGGCAAGTTGGGCGTCCACCTTGGGTTACCGGTGGCGGAGCATCCCGCGGCCAGCTTCCTTTGGCAGGAAGAAGATAGCCAACAGCGAGGAGTATTAATGGCGGCGCCATGGAGTTTTTTTGTTACCGTGCGGAAAATGCAAAGGGGTACGACGTGAGGGAGAAAGAGTTTGAGCTTGTCTGCATTGGGTTGCATCAGTCGGCCCAATTTGGATCGCAAAGTCTGCCCACTAGTGTCTCCTCAAACGAAAAAGAGGATCCAATCATAGATGGTGCCATGAATATGATTGTCCGGTGAAAAGTCTATTACATAAGTTGAGAGATGATGGATGGGAGCATCAGTCTACAAGAAACATTCCAGCGCCCAATATGGATGACAACATTTCAATTAAAGGTTACCCAAGAAGGTCACGCAAAATGGTTACTTGCTTCCATCATTACAAGGTAACCATATTCAATGAGGTGTCGGATACGGAAACATAGTTGAGGTGAATAATCGATTTAGTGAAACTTTCACACGGTTGTTAAAGCGCATTGCTTGCTTTGATCCTAGAGACGCATTGATCAACTTTGATCATGATAAGCTAGTTGAGCTTGCAAATATTAACTTCGTTGATTTCTCATCTCTTGACTGATCAACTCAACATATATATTGAGGTTATGAAAAGAAGCCCTGAATTCTTAGCTTGTGGCAGTTTGAGTTGTCTTGCTCTCAAGTTGGTGCAAACTAGAAACATTTGGTATTTTCATTGATTTATCCCCTCGTTACACTTGCATTGGTATTACCGGTGGCAACAACGTCAGCCGAGGGTTGTTTCAGCCATGAATAAATATTATAAAGATAGATCACTGTAATAAGATGGATGATGATTGGCTCAATGATCTTATGGTTTGTTTTGTTGAGCGTGAGATATCTGCCAAAATTGAAGACAAGCAGATTGTGTTACATTTCCATGCTTTGAAAGAGTGTCGAGGCCATCTACCTCGACTACCTCGTGTTATTTCTACAACTCATTTTAAAGGTATTACTCCCATCTTATCAAAAGCTACAACACGCTTATCACACTCCTGCAAAAAAATTAGATTCATAATTTTTTTTTGCTTCACATGTTGTAGGTGTCATTTGGTATCGTGGGGTCATGTTCTGGCATCAAATGAGCATTTCAAGCGGCAAGACTCTATGATAGTAACCCTGAAGACAATTTTTGCCTTTTCATTTCTTTTATGTTTTATCATGTTTTCAGTAATTGATTCCATGAGTTTTAGTCATGTAGACCTGCATTGTACAAAAGAAAATGACCTTAAATGTTCGTCCTGGCTAAGTTTAATTTTTTTATTAGCAACAGATTTTGTGAACACCCACCCTCTGTAGGTCGAGCCCGACCCCCGCGTCTGGCTCCGGTCAGATTTGATCTGGCCAGTGCGGCCTGCTCACAGCGTGGCGGCAGATATCGGTGGCGGAACGTGCACACGATGCTAGATGGAGGTTCGTCAAGCAAATCGGGGTGAACACTTTGCGCTCGGCTAGTTGCCAAGGTCGGCGATGGCGGCGCTCTTCTGTGCCGTCCCCTTCTTGAAGGCATTGCTGTGAAGAAGCTCTATACCTT